CCCGTGGGAAGAGAAGGCTCCCATGCCAAGGGCTTGGTTTGGCACCCAGTGGACAGATGGTCCGTGTATGGCCCTGGGGAAAACCAGTCCATCAGCCCTGGCCGGTTTGGCTCAGCAGTTGGAGCGTTGGCCTGTGGGCCAGAGAGTCCAGGGTTCGGTTCCCGCTTGGGGCACATACCAAAAAAAAAAAAGGAGAAATAAAAAAGCAGTGCATCAATCTCTATTCCACCTCAATTCTCACACTGTGGGGCGTGGGAAGAATTTTTAAAATGATATTTCCCTTTTTTGTATTGATTTCTTTCTCTATATTTTTATTTTTTTAACCCATGACCAGTGGAACATTCTCATATACAGCTGAACTAATTCTCCCTGGCAATAATTAGGGTTGTTTTACAAAACCCTTGGGAGCCACTGAGGGTTTAGGCACAGGTAGGGTTGGGAACCAAAGGGATCGAGGGTCCAGAAAGACCAGAACACGTCAGAGGAACACGCACGTCGGGACAGGGACTGTGGGGAGGTGGCGAGGAGGCACAAGTGGGCTCACCGAAGACCCGCCTTCAAAGTCACCTGTGAGCCTTCTCAACTCCTGCAAACGAGAACCTGAAAAGGAGGGTCTCCTTCGAGAAGCCAAGCCCTGCCGCAGCAGGTCCCCTGGGGAACTTGGGGAAAGGGTCGAAGGTCCTGTGAAGACCAGAGAAATGTCCTGAAGACCCGCCAGCAGTTTAAGCGGCAAACACATGAGGTCTCAACTACACATCAAAGTGGAGAGAATTCCTCATGAATCGGGGTGCGGTCTGTGAACCGGGAGAACGGACATGCCCCTTGGGGCACGGGCACAGGTAAGCGCTTGCCCGCTGAATCAACACGTATTTCTTGAATTCTTTCTAGGTTCTGAGCATTCTTCTAGGAGGCAAAGAATCAAAGATGAGTGAGAGGCAGGCCCTGAGCTCAACAGTCTCATGAATTAGAGATGAGGACCTCTCTGTAAAGGGCTCAGCGAACCTCACTGAGCCCCAACCGGTACCTGGGTGCCAGGTGTTCCTTCAGTAGCTTTAGTGAGGTTTTCATTGTCTGTGTTTTGTTTGATGGGAGAAAGAAGGAGGGAGTAGATCCGAGGGGGGAGCTCCGTGAGGACACGCAACAGTCCCTGGCTCCGTGTGTGGTCGAACCCACACATCAGTGATAAGGGTCATGGCTTCATCCGAGTTTGTGTTCAGCTCCCAGGAATGTGGCAACAAAGGGATCTCAGCCTTCTCTTTAAAGATCTTACAGTCCAACAAAACTGGAGGCATGACAACTGGGTTTTGAGAATACTTTTCAATGAAGAGTGAGGTCCTAAAATGCATCCTTTAGGATATAATTACAGAGACCGTGTTTCTGTTCACCTAGGAAGACCCCAAGGAATCAAGAACACAAAATGTATTCTTTTGGAGACAGAAACACAGGCACTTAAGGGCTGTGCTGACATCAATTCTTGTATCTCCAGAAGAGGACACAATGCAAGGCACAGAGTCAGGAACAGGGCAGTGTCCACCAGAGACCGGGCACTGGTGGCCCTTGGCACCTGGAGGAGTCTGCTAGCACTTACATGGAATTCGAAGGAGGGCAAGGAAACGTCCATGCAGACCAGAGGGTGTGTTGGCGTGAGGCAGGGAGAAAACACCTGTAGAAACACCTAGGTCTGTGCAGGTGCGCAGAACACCTGTACATTCCCAAGCGGAGTGCAGATGGCGGCAGGTGTCTTTACAAAGCTAATGCACGTTCTCCTTCAACTCTTGGGAGGAGCAACGTCATGTGGGGAATAAAAAAGCATGTCACCGGCAACAGGAGGAGAAGTGCTTCTCAGGGTCACTGGCAAGCGGAGCGAGCTTGGGAGGCCTCGCCGCCCTCTTCGTCTGGGATGTGGACAACGGACACTGTCTCCAGCTGATGGAAGGGCTGGGCAGACAGCCTTAAGGCGAGTCCCTGCCACCCCATCCTATCAGATCATCACTCCCAGCTTCTGAGATTCAAAATGCATGAGCCACATGTAATAAAACGGTGGTTAACGTTTCTGCATCCCTTTTCCAAATAAAAGGTAGTCAAACCTGGAAATGCATGTTTCAGCGTCTTCGTCTGTTGCAAGTAGCGACACATAAATTATGATGGAGGGAACTAGGGTTATTCAGGAATGAAGAAGCAGATCAGCCTGGAGAGAATTCAGTGAAGCCATGGGAGTCGCCCAAAGTGCTTACCTCGACCAGCTGTCCATTGGGGATTTATGGGTGTGTCCCAGGGACGGGTCCTGCCTGAGAAGCCATCTACCCACCTGAGCGGGACAAAGGCACAGCGGTCTCTCCCTTCCGAGACCTTGCTGAGGTGAGTATCGTGTTCTCCGAGGAGCCTCCAACCTGTCCTAACTTGTTTGAAATAAGCCTCCTTTGGAAATGTTTAGTGGGGAGACTGGAGGTCTGGCTGCTAAGGGTTTGCAGCTTCAGTTCCGATTTGGCAGCAGCCCAGCGACACGCGATCTCCAGTCAGTCTCGGGAAACGGCAGCCTGGGGCGTCCCGAGGGGTCATTTTCTGCCCTGCGTGTCCTATCAGTTTGAATCTGGGATAGCCCTTCTGGGCCAGGGACCGGGAAGAACTGCATCTCAATTCCGCTGATCCACAGGCAGATTCTGATTCCCCTGCTCCTGAAAACCCCAGGAAAATGGGAGCCAAGTCCCCTGGGGAAATGAATCTGCTCGATGGCCCCCCAAAACGGAAGAGGAGCCTAAGGCACAGAGCTTCGGTGAGGAACGGAAGAGGCCTCCAGGGTCGGAGGGAAGACACAGTGACTGTGTGAAGGGGGGAGGGGGGAGATTAAAGTGGACACATTGAGGAGCCTGTGAGAAAAGAGAAAGCAAAGGACAAAAGGAAGAAGCACAAAGGTCAAGACAAAAGGGGAAGATGCACGGAGAAGGGAATACAAGGAAAACACCCAGCAAAGACAAAGAACCAGAGGAGGAAATGAGAAAAGACCTCCAACAGGAGACAGAGGGACACCTGCTAGAGGGAGGGGCTCAGTGCCTCTTGACAGGGCAACGCAAGTCCACCGGGGTGATGAATGCCCTGCAGATTCTAAGGCGCAGAGGCCTTGGCATCTGATAGCACTGCAGACGCGGAATTCGGCAGCGACGGGTGCTGTGCACCAGGGGCTTAGAAAGTCTGTCCATTGGGACGGTCCCTCCTTCAGGTGTGTCCCAGGGCCACGTGCCGTCGGTAAAGATCAAAAGCATACCTGAAGCCTCCTCCCAGATTTTGCGCCAGTCCACACTTAAAGTCATTTCAAATCAAGAGACTGGCAGGGGCATGAGAGGCTCTCCACAGTGTTGGCATTAGGAATGATGGCCTGGGGCAGCTCCCAGGAATTCAGGCCAAACTCTGCAAAGCTCACGCTTGCTCTGAGGATGGCTATCTGGGCAAACTGCAATGCCTAAGAGGGGGGATCTGGTATTGGAGGCCACTCACAGCCCTAAACTGGTGTTTTAAAATGTCTAAGTGCAGCGGACACTGTGATGCGTGGCCACCTTCGGGCACAGGGGATGTCTGCCTCAGGGGCAGACATGCTGCAGGTGGACAGATGGCGCTCAGTTGCAGCCTTAAGGGCATTGTCTCCTATGAAGAGAGATGCAGCCCAAGGTCCCAGTCTTTCTGTGGGCAGCCCAAATTCAGTGGCTGACTGCTGTGCCAGCCCCCTCACCTCAAATAAAGAACATTTCTAAAGGGACACCCTAGCTTCAGAACTCCCCGAAAGTTCAGCTGAGATATTCCACTTGACTGCATGGCGACTCCGCTTCTCCAACCACCCATCCCTGCTCCCTTCTCTTTCATTCCACAGGGCTTGACTCCAAGAGCATCTTGAAGAAACTTCCTGCGTTATAGTCACCTTATAGGGTCGGCTTTTAGGGGACCCAATCTACAACACCAAGCAAACAATTACCACCGTATTTCCTCTAAGATCCTTAAACCTCTTCTGCTCAGCAGTGCACATACCTTCACGCGCACACCCGCATGTGTACATTAACCAACAACAAGCCATGGCATTAAGGGTCTTTACATGTCTCTGCTCAGATGTCACCTTTTCGAAGGCCTTTCCTGACCAAACCTCTTTTCCGTCTGCCAGTGTAGACTGCTCTGTTTTCTCATCCTTACCACCACCTGTGATACTGTATATTCAATTTTATGGTCATTTTTCTCATGAGAATGTGAGTGTATGAGAGCAGGAACTTGTACGTTTTAGTTTATTGCTATATCCTTCATGCTTGGAAGTGTGCCTAGACTATTGCAAGGGCTCAGTAGAAACTGAAGAAAAAATAAAATAATTGAATGCACCATGAATAAAAGCTAGCTTAATGATAAATGGCACCTACTTAAATACTAAAGGCTTAATGTTCACTCCACGAAAGCACAAAACTACACTTAGTCTGGTCTGTACAATATCTACACATTAAGACAAAGTAAAATCTGCAATGTAGTTATCGCGGATTAATCATAGCAGAACCATCACACAACCGAAGAACAACAAGCGGAAGAGAAACCAGATATTTGGCAACGCCGAAGACGCACAGATTTGGAAACTTTCCTTTTAGGAAAACGGCCCTTCGAAGCTCTCATTTATCATTTCGTGTTTGTGTTTTCTATCTCTTACAACAACCACACGGACAATGCCACCAAAGCTAATGGTCCCAACATCAACTGTGGCCAGTGAAGTTCTCCCAGAACGTCTTGCCACCCGGTCACCCACCAACAACTGGGATGCAGGTCCCAGCCTGTGGAGAGACCCCCCAGCAGGACTGCGGAATCTTAGCGGACGCGCGTGTCTTTCAGAGAACACCAGAGTTCTCTGCAGAGTCACAGGCTAACAAGTGTAGGACCCTTTGAACGAAGTCACTAGCACTACAACGTCTTGGCTGTGGCCAGCGATTCTCCCGGTTTCTTCCTCCCAGCTGACACAATGCAGCAAGCTGCTGTCTTACCTTTGGGGGAGATGTGTCTCCAGGTAACCGTAGGCTCTGGTCTACCCGTTGCTATGCAGGTGAGGCTGATATTGTTCCCTTCATTAATGGAGATATCTGAAGAAATCTCTACAATTTTGGGAGATACTGTGGAGACAAAAGCCAGTAGAACAAAAATAAATATCCTATTGAACATTTCTTGGCTGTCTTACAATGACGGCAGAATAGCCCAGGGACTGAAATATAGGGCTTCTAGGAATAAATGATGAGAAATTAGAGGAATGACCTTAAACATAAAAGAAACATCTTACCTTGAATCTAGCTTCTATTTGCTCCTTTTTAAACCCGAAGTCAGGAAGTGCTGATGGGAATGGACTCCAGTGCCACACCGCGGTAACTATGGCCCGCGCCTCCACCCTCCTCCTGTCTGCCTGTCCCCGCACCCCTCTGACACGTATCCGCGTCCCTCCACCCAGCATTCAGAGCTGACCAGATGTAACCCACTGCCGATCATATCGCATCTCTGCCTAAACACCTCCGGTCGTTCCTTATTGGCTGGCTGATCATCTCCACGCGCCGGATCCCAGCACAGCAGGCCACTCAGAACCAAGCACCAACCTGTGTGTCCACTGATATTCCCACCGACCCCACCTTGCCATCCCCAGCACATCATGTCCTTCCTGGTCATCAAGCACTTGGGATCTACATCATTCCTCATGTCCTTCCCAGTCATCTTTAAGGTCTGAATCAGATGCCACATTGTCGCAGCTGTTCTGACCCCTACTCCTCCCTTCCTTCTGCACAGGTCTGCTTGACAGCTGCTGCTCATCCATGTTCTCACAGCCTGATGCTGAGTCCGTGTCGGTTAGCCAGATGTACGTGGTCTCTTCCTCTCTGTATCCTCTAAGCCGACCCCTCCAAGAGGAGAGGGCTTCATTTTCATTAGCAAATTCAGGGGCAGGAAGCCCATTCCGTTCAGTCTTTAGTTCTGGGACCAGGCTTCCCTTAGGGAAGTTGTGTTGTGCTCCTCCTAAAGCATGTATCACAGGGCATGTCCCACAGGTGTGGGGACAGCCACCGCGCAGCCAGCAGCTGCCTGGGTGCACCTGCCTCATTTGAGGGTTCAGAATTAGGAGCTAATCATTGCTGGGCATCTAAGCCTAATGCTCCAGCATCATCAAAACTAGTGAATACAATATTTGGTTCATGTACGACTATTCTCTTGTCTGCCAATTGGTTTATAAAGTGCGAGTGTTTGCCATTTGTTAGGCACCCCAAGCTCCAACCCTTAGCCTTTATCCCCCTCGGCTTTGGTGACTGGCTTAGCATCTCTCATCCACTAGACCATGAACTCTTCGGTGGCTTGAGCCCTGACTTACTTACATTTATATCCATAATAAAGCTCAACAGATATGGATGGGGTGGAGTAATCACGGCAGTTCCATCACCTTCCCAACCCGCCCTGTGTCCGGGGCAGCCTCGGAGCTGGATCAGGGACGTACGTCATTTCAGTTTCACGGACAGTGGATTTGACTCAATCATTCTTTGCAAGTTAAGTAGCCCCTCCATCCAGGTCTTTTAAGTTTCTTCATGTTAGTTTCTTTCCTTGAATCAGCATCGGTCCAGGACACCACGGTGTGTAATTCTGGGGCACGTCACCCACCCAGCACACAATGCCATTTGGCCTTCGGGGACCCAAACATCCACCGCACTCACTGCTCCAAGGGCAGAGAGCCCCTCACATGAACGTGACACCGGTTGGGCACGTTAGTGCTCTCCTCTCCCCCACCTGGAGCACTGAACTAGCACTCCTAACTGCATCGGATTTCTTCCTCCACACACATGGGGTAGCATGCAGATACCTTCCCTGGGCCTTTGATCCCTCTCCTCCTTCTCCTTAAAATTGGTTCACTCCTTCCCATACTGCACACAACTGGGACACTGGCTAATAAGCCTGTGTCCCATGTCGTTTCCTTATCCTGGGGCCCTTGATGCTGACTTCAACTTCTTCGACTCAGCTCTCCCACTATCTGTACCTACTGGAGTTGCTCAAGGCCCGACCATGTCACCACACCTACAAGGTCTTCTGCGTGATCGCCAAAAGGATGTGACTTTTCCTTCCTGGGGATCCCACAGCCTCCTTCAACTTCAAAGCATTTAAAATTAACTCTGTTGCCTGATTGGTGTGGTTCAGGGTTAGAGCATTGGCCCTCAGGCCGAAGGGTCTCAGGTTCAATTCCAGTCAAGGGCATATTGCAGGAGGCAACCAATTGATGTGTCTCTCCCATTGATGTTTCTCTCTCTCTCTCCCTTTGTCTCTTCCACTCTATGCAGAAATCAACGGAAAAATATCCTCAGAGGGGTGTGTGTGTGTGTGTGCAACTGTAAACACACTTACCTAAACTCTCACAGATATTTGGTAGGACAAAAACAATTGAGAATAGGTGCAATGAGGGCTGAGGAGTGACCTGTGACTTCTAAGACATACATTGCAACTTATGGCTACATCATTTTAAAAGCTGGATTGAATCTTCCAGGACAGAAAAATAATTGATGAGTTAATGACAGAACACTTGATATGCTGAGTACATAAAGCAGTGTTCCCAACCTTCCTAATGCCGCGACCCTTTAATACAGCTCCTCATGTTGTGGTGACCCCCAAACACAAAATTATTTCTGTTGCTACTTCATAACTGTAATTTTGCTACTGTTATGTCTTAGGCGACCCCTGTGAAAGGGTCATTCGACCCCCAAAGGGGTCGTGACCCACAGGTTGATTCACATTTCTAAACTCTCTTAGGTGTAAAATCATTGAAACGTGATGGGATTTGCACAGAGTTTTAAGGGGAGCATGTGCTTCTTGGACCACCCTTCCCCAATCCGTGCAGTTTCCTGGCCCCCGCCCCTGCCCATCCCCCGCAGCCATAGTTGTGCTTGCTCCTGGGAAGACAGGCTGCAGAATGACAGCAATGGCCTTGCAGACGTTGCTTCAACCGTGCAGGTAAGTAATTTATTGATCTGAAAGGATTCCGAGACGCTCTGCAAGGGATTATGTCATGCCAACGCCATGCAATAAAATAAGAAATGATGGACTTTGTGAACACAGGATGATTTAGGGTTTGTAGTTGGAAGTGTGCTTAAAGTACATTTTAAGTGGGAATCAGGCGGGGTAATGAATTACTCTTGCTTTGGAAAGGCTTCCTGTGAGTTCATTTTCCTGGCTTCTTACATGATACTAATCTGCTAATCATACACCAGAGAACAATGGACAGTCCCCAAGCAGAACAGAAGGTGGTTTGGGCCAGAACTGTCAGAAAAGTAAGTATATTAACTGAGACAATCACATCTCATCCTTGGAAGAATCATCTAGAACTGTCTCCCTCCCGTAACAGCTGGAAAGTATCCAACTCATGAACTAGAAGCTAGTGAAATGTCTGCTGTCCTTTGAAACCTGCCTCAGAGTGTAACTTGAGGGAGGAACATTTCCCCTGCATATGTTTCAAAAGTAGGCCATTCATAGCACAGAGCTGAGGTGGTCTGTACAGAGGGGCAATCCCCACTATCAGAACGGAGCAGCATCATGCCGATGCTGGGGAGCAGGAGTATCACTGTATAGGTGGCAACTTCTATCACACTGCCAGTACGAACAATTCAATAGAATTAATAGGATGTACTGCAGCTTTAGCTGATCCAGGTTCATAAGGAAGTCCTAACCAACTGAAAATGCGTTCCTTATGTTTCTGTATTTTCCATGGATGCATTCTGCATCTTACCTCTGCATCATGCAGTCTCTTAGAAATAGACGGGGACTGCTTTGTTTGTTTTTATTCATTTACTCACTCCCTCATTCCTTCTTTCATTCATCAGTATTCGTTGATTACTTCCATCCATCAGCATTGTTCACAGCACTGAGGACATGTCACTGAAAAGGGCACAGTCCTTATCCCCAAGGGAGTCACAGCAATGTAAGAACAGGCACAGAAGCATATCCCTTTGATGCATTCTGACACAGAAAGATAAATAAATTGTTAGGAATACAGAGGAGAGACACCTAAGCCAGCCTGCCGGATGCCACGGAAGGCTTCTTGAGTAGGTGACACCTAGGCTCAGCCCTAGAACATGAGCAAAAGTTAATTCTGGGAAGAAGAGGAGGAAAGATGCCAGACATCACAACCAATCGCAGGCATAATCATGGAGGTGGAAACAGCTGCTAATGGAGGCTGGGCTAAACTCAGGAAACATTCAGGGAACACCTACTGTATACGCAACTGTGAGTTAAATATATGCATGACATGCAGAAATACACAAATTATTTGGACCTCCATGAATGTACAATCAGTTTGAGGAAACAGTGCATATAAATATCCCAGGAAGTTGAAAAACAAAGCAAAATTTTTCACAAAATGGCATATGATTAAATGTTAAATGAAGGGTGGAAAAATTAAGTTCTGTGAGTTAGAGAGGGAGGGCCATGGCGAGCAGGAGGGTTGGCGTGGCTTCACCTCACAGACGGTCTATTTTGGACATCCACACATGAGAACAGCTGTCCGCAGAACTGCCTGGTGGGCACGAAGCTAGGCAGAAACCCACGCCACGCATGGGGATGTGAAGTCCGTGTTCCAGGAGGCGGTACAGAACTGGTCTGGATCCTGGCCCTACTTTGTTCAAGCTGGGTAACCTTGGCCAAGACGCTTGACCTCTCTGTGCCTTACTTCTTCATCTCTGCAACGGAGCTCATAATGACATGCACCTCGGAGAGTGTTTTTAAGAATTTAAGGAGAAAGTTTATAAAATACACTTAGAGAAGCTCCTAGAAATATACAGTGCTCAGAAAGTAAGTGTTATATTGTGTGTGCTTGGCAAACTCATGCATGTACTTTCAACACAGATGGATGATCAATAAATGTTAACCAACTCAGGGAAGAATGGGATACAAGATCAATGAATAAACTAGAGCCCGATGATAGACCAGCTTAAATGGCTGGGTCCTGGATTTTAACTCTATCGTATACGTAATGGCAAGCATTTAAAGTTTTGTTTTTTTTTCCTAAAGAAATTCTATATATTTTAAATGTGCTTTAAGCAAAATAGTCTGGGAACAATATATCAGAGTGAGAATAGACAGAAAATGGAACCAGAGAAAATGT